CACACACACACACACACACACACACACACACACGGTGGAGTCATACTTCCCCCTTGATTTCGAAAGCCCTCTGGGGAGAGGAGGACCGCCCTGAAGGTGCATGGATTCTGGTGCATGGTTGCTTGCTGCTTGCAAGTCAGTCCACCGGGAATGGGAACCACCTCAAGCACAAGTGTATAACCAACGCCGGGAACCGTGCCCTCTGACTAAAGGACAGTGTCCCCAGCCCCGACCACAGATTCCGCCATGGGATCAGCCGCCCTGGTGGGCAGCTGTCCTTTGGCCCCAGGCTCCCCACGTGTGTTACGGCGGAAGAACACCAGCCAGACCAAACCGGGCCAGAAAATAGACTTTAATCTCCCACGTACAACCGTGAGGGCAGACAGAAGCGAGGCTCGCTCCTCGCTGCGCAGGCGCTGCAGTCAGCCCAGGAAGCCCACCTTCTGGCGCTGCGGGCCCAGGCCCTCCTCCTGGTGCAGCACGGCATGCAGGGCGGAGTGCAGACCCTTGCCCACGCGCTTGCTGGTCTGCAGGGCGAGTGAGAGCACAGGGCCACAGTGAGGCCCCACCAGCGGACGACCCCACGTGCAGCACACATTCCACCCACCTCCGAGGAGGACTAAGTCTGATCGGGACCCAAACCCCAACCGCTGGCGGCCACGTGCTGGGAAAGCCACCAACCACCACCCTGTGGGCAGCGCCACGGCTGCACGACCACTGGCCGGCCCACACTCTGCATTCCTGCAGCTGCTGTGACGGGCAGCACAGACGTGAGCACGTCCACAGTGGGCCTCCGCATTGTGAGAGGCAGAGGGGCGCAGGGAAGCTGGCGTATTGGGGACAAAGGCACAAGGGCACATTTGCCCCAGGTGTCTGGTTCACCGTGCCTGTGAGGACCGCTCAGATGAGACCAGTCGGCGGCTTTGGGTGTGACTGATGCAGTGGGGCTGAAGGAACGGGCAGGCGGCGAGACCAGGCAGCCCTTACACCACAGACCTCAGGGGGCCTGAACGCGACCCCGTACCCCCAAATCCACAAAGTTCCCTCCAGGAGACCGTGTATCTACTGGCTTCTGCAGTGGTCCGGAGTCATGGTAAGAACCTACCCAGCCCACTGGCCCATCCGGCCTTCTTTGAGTCCCCACTGCAGCTTGAACCCCACTGACCCTGGATCTGGGGACAGACGCCCAGATGCGGCACCCAATCCTCCTGTGGGCATGGTCTTCCCTGGAGTGCAGCCCCTCTGCCATGCTCCAGCCCTGGCCCCGGCCTTGACAGGGCTGAGATGAGACCCCAAGTGAGTCTGACACACTCCAGGAAGCGCAGAGGGGTGGCAGCAGTGGGCTTTCCTGCCCAGGGAGTGAGTAAAACTGAGAGCCTCCATGCAGGAGCCCCCCCGGCACTTCATTGGGAAGCTGGGTTCGCTGACCCAAGGAGCTAGGGCAGAGGGACATGCTCTCTGTAGTTATCAGTAACTCTGAAAGAACTTTGTGATACTGCTGGGGCAGAACGGCCAGACCAACGGGCTGGGAGCCAGGGGAGGCCTTGTCTGGGGCATGGCTGGAGGAGGTTCTGCTGGCAAAGAACTGTGGCTTATCTGAATGACAGCCTGTAACTTGCCTAACGACCCCCATGATCATGAGAACGATCTGGGAGCTCTGGGTGGTCATTTCAATGAGCTATGGAACCAGCTGGGAATGAGAGATTGCCGTGGGAGGGACGATTGGGGTCAGAACCTGTCAGAAGGTTGGAGCATGGAGGCAGGGCTGACCCATCTATTAAGGACCCTCGTGTGGGACTGATGCTGATGGGGGTTCTCCTTGTAAGGCCAGAGGCGGCTAGCTGTCTCCCACCCCACCCTCCGCCCGACCTTATGATTATAAGCAAGCATTGTTCAGGTCCCACACCCACCCCACACTCCACACCTTTAGCTAGTCTCACACCAACTGCTCACCAAGCTGCAACTCTGGGGTCAGGACATGCGGGGCGCACAGCACACAGCCAGACTCTCACCTCCATCATCTCAAAGATGCTCTCGGGGTCCAGGCTGCCCTTCCCTACTTTCCTCATGCACGTCACGACCCCCTTGCTGGTCACCGACACCAGCAAACTGGCCAGGGAGCAGGCCTCCTCCTGCAGTGTGGCATCCACCACGTGCCGACAGCCGATCTGCAAAGTGAGCGCACAGCACACCTGTGGGCAGGATGCCCAGGGCATCGCCATTCCTTCCCCATCGCGGGGGTGCTGTGCCGGGCAAGACGACACCACCCAGTCAGGACAGCATGCCGCATCCTGCCCCTCATCTGAGAGGAGCGGCCACTGCATCCTGCCCACTGCCGGGCACACAGTGCCTCATGAGGACTGCCGAGGGGCCGTGTCACTCCCACCTCTGCTGAAGAGGACGGGACAGGTCAGCCGAGGCCCAGCTTTGGGCTCAGAGCCTCCAGAACAGTGAGAGAACACACTGCTGCAAGGTCCACCACCCGCCCCGCCCCGCTCCAGACGTGACTGCAGCACAAGAAGCCTCAAAGCCGGGGCCACGTCATGAACACTGTGTGGACTGGTGAGGATTCCCGCGGGCAGCAGGCA